ACTGATTTTAAGGGCCTCTAGATGTGAATTTTCAATTTTTATTTTAATCTCAGACTGCAAGGTAGAACGCAACACCAGTTAGCAAATAAGGAATCCCCAGAAAAGGGATTTTTATTTGATGCTCATATATAGTTTTTAAAGTTTTATTTCTATTTTTTGGTACCGGAGATCAAACTCGGAACCTTGAGCTTGGGAGGCAGGTGGGGGAACCACTGAGCTAAATCCCCAGCCCTGTTACTCTTATATTTTAAGACACTGTTAAAGTATTACACAGTGTAGACTCATGCTGCATTATTACCTCTGATTGTTTTAGGATGGCTATAGATATCATAAGTTTAGTGGGCACTTATATTTACTAATAAATTTTATAATCTTAAAATACTTTTATAATCCTAGCAAAGTCATTTTCTTTTATTTGGTATGTAGTTCTTTTATTATTTCCATTTAGAGAAATAATGAAAAATGATGAGCAAGTGAATAATGAAGTAAATCAACTGAAACAAATTTTGTTTTGCTTTGTTTTGTTTTGGTACCAGGGATCAAACTGGGGCGCTTGTGCTTAGAGGTAGCACTGACCTAAATCCCCAGCCCCAACTGAAACAAATGCACGGCCTTCCCACTTTGAAAAATGTTGCATGGTTCACCTTTAAGCGTGTGGACGGATATGTAGAACTGTCCTCCTAGGGTATGAGGTTATATGGGTAGAAAGCCAAATGACAGGGAGGTGTGTGATAATGTATCATCAAGACAAAGGCGTTCTAAGCGCACATTTCCTAGCATTTGGATTCTGTTCATTAAATGCTGAAAAACTAAAACAAGGGAAAGACCATGTATGCTACTCTTCTGAATCTGGAGGACTTCAAGGATGTATGAGGTCCCCCCATAAAAATTGATCTTCAGTGTCAACAAATGATAAACTCTGTCTTTACAAATTGTTTTCCTTCCACAGTGTAAGCATAGCTGTGTATTACCTCATTAAGAACAGGTGAGCTCTTGAAAACCTGTCTTACTATTACAGTTAATTTGTATGATACCAAGCAGGTATACTATTAGGTCATGACTGCAGGCATTAGAAGTCGAAATGTGCTTTTAGTGACACATGGAAGCAAATCAGGTCAGATTTTTGTGGTTGCAATTAGGACTGTTAAAAAATATTCTCTTAAAAATCCCGGAGAATACTTAACTTCTTTAGGTTACTTTTATATTTACTGTTTTAGAAATTAAAATTGAGAGTTAAATGTGTTGTGTGTTAGCGTGTGCACACATGTATGTAGGGGGCAGAATTAACTCTAGGTTTCTCAGTGCTGGACCTGTTGATGTCCTGAGCTAGATAATTCTTGGCAGTGGGGGCGGTCCTATGTAGCACAGGACCCTGTCCTCTGCCTACAAGATGCCAGGAGTTTTCTCCCCTGTGTCGGACAACCAGAAATGTCCACTGTTGGATAAGATCCCTCCTGACAGCCAGGCATGGTGGTGTACGCCTGTAATCCCAGCAGTCGGGAGGCTGAGGCAGGAGGATCGCTGTGAGTTTGAAACCAGCCTAGGCTACATAGTGAGTTCCAGGTCAGTCTCAACTACATAGTGAGGCCCTGTCTCAAAAAACCAAAAATCAAAACACAAAAGAACACTCCTGACAATGGAACACCCTGTTAATGGAAATACCAAAAAAAAAATTTTTTTTTTCTACCTCTTTTCCAGTTGTGTTCCTTTATTCTTTGGGTGAAAAGTGCATCTCTGTTTAGACCTGTGCGTCTTTCTTTTTTGACTGGATAGACCACCACTAGACTCTCACATTTCTTGGTTCCTTTGCAGTTACATTTGAGGAAGCAATATGAGGACAGCATAATCTCATGGAGATAAATAGTTGGACATAAGTGTATCTTTAAAATCTCAGATAATTGAGGATAGTCTTTAACATTGCATTAAACACCACAAAGATTAGTGTCTTGAATTGGGTACAGTGGTATTTTACATGGCATCTCAGAAACTGTTACATTAGTACTCCTTGGTGCATCTTATACAATGAATAGACTTCTTTGTTGTAGTTGTTCCGGGGATCGGACTCGGGACCTTGTGCTTGCAAGGCAGGTGGCAAAACCACTGAGCTAAATCCACCGCCCTGGTTCACATTCCTTTATAACATGCAAACCAATTTTGTTAGTATTGTCACCAGTCTTACCAAAAAGTTTTCAAGTACTGAGGTGTCATGTGCACAGCAGAAAGTACACTTTTTTCAAAATCTTGATTTTTAGCTTCATGATTTGAATTTTGTCATTGGTAACAAATACTTGTTCATTTTCCTTGTAAGGACAGGCCCACTTTGCTCATTTTTTCTATTTCTAGTTTCATATAAAAGTGTTGTTCTATGATAACCAGCCTGTTCAGCTCACAACTAAATCACAAGGGCTTTTTTCTCAACACAGTCCATACCTCACAATGCAGAAAAGCTTTATGTAGACTTTTCATTTATTGAGAATATTTTTAAAAGGTCCCAGATGTATTAACATTAGTGTTTACTGCTTCATCAAGGGCAATCATAAGAAAAAGAGGCTTCTTAAAGCAACCACAAGCGACAGTGAAAAATACAATGACTGCTGGTATAATTTGGAAATACAGGCTTGATGGCTGCGGAGGAATCACGGTTTTACTTATATATAAGCATTACAAGTGTCCAGCAGTGGAACCCCAAGTAATGTCCTCAAGTAATGTTTTCGTAAGAACAGTTTGATCTACGAGCCTCCTGTAAAAGAGCCTGGGGAACCTCCACAGGTCCTCACACCACGGAGAACCACCGGTCTAAGGGAGCAGAGTGCGTTAGCGTAATGAAAAGACTGTTATCATACAGAAACGCAGCTACGCTTTAAATTCAACTAACAGGAGCACGAAATATGTGCTGAAAATACAGAGCACCGAAGAGAGGAAAAAACTGAGAAATCTGAATCTCACATTTGTTAGATGTATAGACTTGATTCCCCATCCCTGGTGCTTTACTAGCATTGCCTGTTGGGAAGTCATTACTAGCGGGCACCTGTAGCTGGTCATCGTAGAAAAGGCTTAGTGGTACTTGATGCAATGTGCAGAAAAAAGTCTTAAGGCTAAAATCCAGGAGAATTTGTAAAACTGCTAGGTGTGTTGAAGGCTAGGCCTCTTGCTTCATCCTCCTCTTTTGCTAGCAGATGATTTACTAAGGTAGAAACAATCGTGCTTACGTGCACTTTCTTCTTTTGTAGAGATGCAAACAGAAGCCTGGATATTTTTGATGAGCGATTGCATCCACTCACAGTAAGTATCTTTGCCTTTGTAATTTCTTCTCTCACAGAGTTGCATTTCTTTCATGCTGTCTTCCTTTCACATCATTGCCAGAAGTAAATCACTCCCATCTATTTGAATTTCAATCATGTCCTTGCTCACATCATGTTGTATCACATCTTCTCAGAAAAGGAGGGTTTTTCAGGGCTCTGATAGAGTAAGAACTGTTTTGCAGCTGTCATGTTGAGCTAAAATGAATAAATGTACTATTCAGATATCAGAAAACGTAGCTTTTAAAAAAATAATTTCCAGTAGTGTCCAACGGGATAAAGAAGTAAATAAAACCCAAATGTGTGAAGTTGTTTGCAACTGCTTCCTAGAAAAACAGTGAATTTGAGAATTCTGCGGAGGAGAAGTGGAAAGTAATGTTGATTTTCTGAGCTTTTGGCCTTCTGTGTTGCCTACAATAGAAGGCTTTCTGAGATACGGAGTGATAGCAAGTCATCCTTGTGAGTGCACTCACATAACAAAATGGCTGTGCTGCACTAGGTGGCAGCTTATGGGGCTACTGTTTTGCTGTACATGTGGTCGGCGCTGAGCAAAGGGTCATTATGCTCAGTAGAAGGTCCCAGTGTTTCTAGTTAAGGTAAAAGACGTACAGCCCAATTAAAATTACTTTAAGGAGCACGTGAGCACAAGGTGGAGACTCCTGTGCTCAGAGTACTTAAAGGCTTTCTTCAGTGGATCCTTACATTACTTCTCTTTTCAGAGTGAAAAGCTTCCAGAGGAATACTTTGAGCATGATCCCGAATACATGCGTATTTACAGATTTATTGCTAGCATTTTTAATGCCACATGGTTACCAACTGAATGCGCAATAATAACCTTGGTAAGATGCTTCTTATTTATTTACCAAGCATGCTTAGAAATTGGTCATATACACAGAGGAAAGTCTTTCTTTCAAATGAAAGTAGATTGGTAAAATTATTATGAAAACTTTTTGAAGAGGAGCTTATCAGAGAAAATCAAATAAACATATTTGGGTCCTATAATCATCTAAAATATTGCCTTTTCCTTTCTCGTCACAAAACAACTGCAGATAGAGGTAACTGTAGAGTTTTCCCCACATGCACATGAACCCTAACTCAGACTGTGGAGTGGGAAGGAGAGCAATAAAAAGGCCATGTGAGCCACGGAGACTGCTTTCATGCAGATGAAGCCAAGTGCCAGGCTGTGTTTCCTGGACAGTTCACTGCCTGCTGCTCTCTGTCCCTTGGGCCATGGGTCTCAGACCATCCCCGCTGACTGCTGGCGTCTGCTCATGATGCTGCCCAGGATGGCAGGATCAGCAGTTCTTAGAACAGCTTTGCTAGCCTGCTAAGCTGTAGCTGTGTCCTCATTTTGTGTTATCCATCCAGAATTCTGAAGGTGAGATTTGATCCTTTATAATAAATGCTGTTCCGGTGGTTGAGATTGTTCTGGTCCTCCCTCCTGCAATGCACAGTGGGAAGTCCTCCACATAACGTGGAGGGAAAGAGCCCTTAGATCAGGAGTGACTCCTATGGCATCCAGTCAGAGTTTGGAGGGGGCTCCTGCCCTGTGCTTGATCGGAACCCCTCAGGAGCACTTCCAGGTGTGGAGGCAGACAGTGCAGGAAGGAGAGCTGGGTTGCAAGAGGGAGTGTCCTTGTAGACAGGTAAGCTTGATGTTCCGTGAGATAACAGTTGCCTGTACTTATTTGGATGTGGGACCAGAACAGGAACCTGAGTCACAAATAAAGAAGTAAGCGTAGCTGTTCCAAAGCATAGAATATCTTCAGAGAAAATGGGGCAGGAGTCTTCACAGGTACTGATGGGACAGCTGTCTTTGTTGAAAAGAGAAGAACTGTCTTCCACTCACACAGCAGAACAAGAGGTGCAAATGTGTGGCAGCCCAGCACGAGCCTAGGGCAGAGCTGAACAGAGGTGCAGGGTTCGCCAGGGCTGGGCCACTGCCCGATCATCTCCGTGCAGTAAGACGTGTGTCCTGGGACGAAGGCTCGTTTTTAGCTTGCTTCGGGGAGCAAGTTTGGGGGAGTGAATACAGCTGATTTTGGAGAAGATTGCACGATCTGAACTGTTGCTCTGACATCTTCATACAGTAGCTATGCTCTTGAAAGTAGGCTTTTGCTTTTGGTTTTGATACAGAGTTCACATAACATATACAGTCTATGCTCCTATGTCTGTGAGCTCTGCCATCTAAAGTTTCTACCATTTAGGAAAAAAAGATGTCCTTCTCTTGTCCTTAAGGCTCATCAATATGGTATAACTTCCTTTACCTGGCATTTACATGGAATTTTGAAGTATAGCCAACTTAGAAAGAGGGGAGGAAGGGGAGAAGGGAGGGCAGGGGTAAGGGGTAAAAACAAGAACCAAGACCTGTCATGTAAAGGTACAGGATCCCAGTAATGAATGTAACTGTACTGTACACTTAAAATGTACCAATAAACTAAAAATAAAAAGCAATTTAGAAATGCTTTCCAGTACGTGGGAGGATGTGCATAGCTTATATGCAAACATTAAGCCATTTTGTGTGAAGGACTTGAGCATCTGTAAGTTTTTGTATCACTCAGATTCAAATAACAGCAAATCACAGCCTCCTCTGTTATCTGACTCAGCTGGTAGCTCACCCAGTTCCTTGTAGAATAGACGTTTGATGTAAAGAGTATGTGATGTTATCTTTTGAACTGCCTAAAGTTTAGGAGTCCCAGGGACACAGACTGGCAGCTCTGTTCTTCCCATCCTAAAACCAATAAAACTGCCTAAGTTGCTGATTATACAGGGAGAGACTGGATTTTCATGAACAGTGAAGATGTGGAAAACAAGGGCACGTGTGTACACGTAGGCTCTTTACAAACACATTGAGTTTTGGGTAAACTACACTCATAAAGTCCTACGCCTGTTGTGCTGCTCTGCTCCGGAGCCCCTGGGAGGTGCTCCTGTCCGCCATTAGTGCCACAGAAGGGTAAATATTGTAAAAAGGTGAGCATGAAAGTGTGCTCACTGTGAGTTGGGCTTACATTCGACCATGACGTGTCTCAAACCATTGTAAAACTACCAGCTGAGTGCGCTACATTGCCTGTAGGAGGCACTCAGTACTGATGGAACAACTTTACCAGGCCTGGGTCTGTGCCCTTCATGAGTGTGAAGGTGATAGCAGCGCCACTGTGCTGGATGCCCTTTGCTGAGTCGTGCAGTCATTGCTGTCCCCAGAACTGGACAGGGAATGTACATGGGCAGCACAGGCATCTGATTTCCAACTCTGACCTGGCCTCTGGCTTTAGCTGAGCACAATCTCTGTAGCACTCAAAAGTAAGAGACAGCTCCTTTCTGTTCAGGCACACAAGAAACCTGCCACTCACACCGGTTCTTAGCGCAGCACTTAAACAGGACTGAAATCACAAAAGAGTGCTCTCCTCTTTGCAGGTCTTCTTGGAAAGGCTTTTGTCTTACGCTGAGATTGACATCTGTCCTGCTAAAGGGGAAAGGATTCTCCTGGGGACCATTCTTCTTGCCTGCAAGAATTGGGATGGTGAGACTCTGTGGAATATGGAGTTCTGCCGGATCTTCAACGGTGTTACCCTTGAGGACATGTGAGTTCCAAAGGGCTTGGTGAATTCTCTAACCATTTTCCACTTCATTTGCTCCCATAAGATATGCAATTAAGAAATAACTTTAAATACCACATTCGATAGCAAATGGAAATAGGCATGAACATGCTACCTTCTGCTCATGTACGGTGCGCAAAAGCTTATATTTTGCATTATTAACTCTAGATTTTACCGGGATATTATTGTAATGATATGCTCAGTAGATTGAAGTGTTTTCTCCTAGTGTTTGCCAAATATCTCACAAGCTTACCCACAGAACAACATAGTGCGGTGCATGTCTTAATGGCTTTTTCAAAGCTGTGAGTTCCAGTCCCTCTTCAGGGATGTTGTGTGTGGCTTTTGAAAGAAATGCATGGCCACTGCTAAGGTCTTAGGACCAGTGGACTACTGAGTATAGCGTCAGCCTGAGCCACACATGGTCAGGGTTTCCCCTGGATGTGTGTTCTTAGATAACCGGGACATACAGCAGGAGAGGTTCCAGATCCCCGTGCCTGCCTCCTCCTGACCAGGAGTGCTGCGTGTGTGTAGAAATCGGTCCGAGGGGTTCTCGCCTTCTGTCATTGAGTGTGCGCAGGCAGCTGTGCAGTCACACAGCAGAGGACTTCTTCTGGCTGTTTCTCTTTCCACTTTACTGAACTCCCCTGTGTGTGTGTGTGTTTGGGCATGTGCTCTCACACGCGCATGCACACTGTCCCTGGTAAGGAGCAGTGGGTGCTGATCATGTTGCATTTCCCAACACAGAAACGAGACTTCGAGTCCAGTGCACTGCCAGAAATCATGTGCTAAACTGGATTTATTCCAGCCAAGACTGCTGCTGTCTTTGATCTTTTTGCCTTCAAAAGTTCAAAATAAGTAGTATGTGGGCCGGGGATTTAGCTCAGTGGTGCCACCACCTACCTCGCAAGCACAGGATCTGGAGTTCAATTCCTGGTACCAAAACAAAGAACCAACCAAACAAATAAATAAATAAAATGAGTATCTTGACTGTCAGGGTCACAGTTTGTCACCCTGGTAATAAGGTGTCCTTTGACATAGCCTTCTATTCCGTGAAGGTGGCAGTGATTTCCTTTCCCCTACAGAGCAGTTTGGCTTTTTTCTTCATTTACGATGATTGCTTTTTTTTTTTTTTCGGTACCGGGATGGAACTCTGGTCCTTGCTCTTACGAGGCAGGCAGCAGAACCACTGAGCTAAATCCCCAGCCCCGATCATTGCTTTTTCTCTGAAGAATTTTTCCCTCAGAGACAAGAGCGGTGGTTCCTTTGTTGGTGTCTCTCGACCCTTCTACGCCCTTCCTCTTATGAGCCTAATGAAAACGTGTACAAGTTCTTCTGTGCTGACAAAGAGCACACATCACTTCTTTGGTCTTTCCACTGTAGTGGGGCCTTGTGGTGTGAGTCACACAGATGCACTGATGGACTCTGAAGAATGAGCTGGGAGCCGGCAGCAGGCGGAAATGAATAGGCCGTAACCTTTCCCCTTCACCCAAAGACCAAAGCACTGGGATACAGAAAGGACTGAAAATAGCCGTGCCTTGTTGGGACATGAGTATTTTCTTGCACTTGGGTAGCCTTCCTAGGGCTCAAAACAGACTACACAGCAGTTTTAGAAGCTCAGGATGACATTTTTGAGGACAGTTCACTTGACTAAAATTGTCTTGTATTTATTTTGCTGTGTTCTTCCTCCCCAGAAATGAGTTGGAAAGGCATTACTTGAAGCTGATTAAGTTTAATGTTAATGTGTCTATCAGCGTTTATGCCAAATACTACTTTGACCTTCGCTCTTTAGCATATAACAGTGGCATGTGTTGTGTGCCTGTGCCTCTGACCAAAGGAAGAGCACAAGACCTAGAGGTAAGACTTGTGTTCACCACGTGGGGTTTTCTGTGAGCCACCAAAGCCAGCATCTTGATTATATCATATTAAGCCGTGACTAGGGGAAACAGAAAGCATTCCCATTAAAACATTCAAGAGCTTGCCCTCTCATGTCACTCCTATTTCTCCGTTATTCTGAAAAAGTAGGTATGATCTCTTCTTTGGCCATAATCCAGAATATTTTTAATCGGAAATACTCAGTTCAGGGTTGGGGATTTAGCTCAGTGGTTCCACCACCTGCCTCACAAGCACAAGGTTCTGAGTTCAATCCCTGCTATGAAAAAAAAAAAAAAAAGAATTAATCAGTTCATAATGGTTTTCCTTTTGAAACCCTACCTTTCCCCACAAGCTTACATGATTAATTCTTTCAGTTTGTATCCCTTATTAATAAGTACAGTGTTCACTTAACTATTTGTGCCTGACTATTGCTCAGTTTGCAAATTCATGTAAGTTCAGCTATCACAGCTCAAACCCATGAATTCATGAGAGAGATCCTTAGTGGCTAATGTGAGAATCCTAATTTAGCATGTGTGATGCGTGTTTAAGTACTGGAGGATGGACGAATGTAGGTTTTCAATGGCAGTGATAGCTGGCATGGGGGAAAATAATATACAGGGCTTATGAGTTTGGCTGAGTGTACACTAAAATAATTCACACCGGAAATGGACACATACATGCATATGGCACTTTCTGCGGTGCCTTATTTATAATGCATTATTCTCCCATAGCCCATGTGCAGAGCATCTTTTAATGCTTCAGTCATTACAACTGTCCTGCCCCACAGTAGCACAGTACACACCTTCCTCCCGGGAAGTGGCTTGGAGTTTGTAATAGCTATGAAGATTGAGTAGAGCTGGAAGTGCGGAGCCAGTGTTTACCCATTGTTTTGCACGGGTGTATGGTTTTTAACGAATAGTTGCAAAGGTAACTGATGCTGGTGTTAGGAACCTAAATCACGAAGCCTTCTGACATCTTTACAAACTCAGTTTTTAAAGACTGTCACTTAACAGTGTTTTCCTTTCCTAGTAATCTTCCCCTTTAAGGATGTTAGTGCATTGGCAGGAAGTAACACTGGCCAACTTGGTCCTGCAAGCCTCACAGAGCCCAAGCAGCACTGACCATGAAGTATTTCAATATCTGCAGCACGACTGAACATTAGACCCGAATCCTATTTTTCTTTAGGGTCGCAATCTTTGAAACAATTCTACCTGTGTTCACTTTCCTAGATCACGTCACAATGGTGTGAAGACGAAGACTTGTGCAGAGCAGCTGTGAGAAGATCGACCAGTGATGGCAATTTTGTTGTTTTTTTTATCTAATGCCATATTCTCTTGAAAGAAGAAATGGGACCTAAGACTTTATGAACTCCTCATTTCTAAAAGATGGAGAAATACCACCTCTCTTGCAAAGGAAAAAAAACAAAAACAGCAAAGATAATACTTTCACCAAAAGGAAAGACCTTGAATTCAACCAACTCCTGGACAGTGACAGTTGGCACTGCATGGGAAAGAAGAGACCTTGTCAAAGCAGCAACACACTTACTGTCCTCATTGATGTGAGCAGAGTCACAAGTACTGCAAAGCAGCAGCCACCTGATGACACAGGGGCATTTGCTCAGTTTGCAGGCCCGTTTGTGAGCTCTGTGAGGCCCTTGAAATGGGAGATTGCATTTCAATTAATTTAAAGTTTTAATTAATTTTAAAAGTGAGATTTTAGTAATAGTACCCATATAATTGTTCTGCCCCCCTACCCCCTATTGCTACATATGCCTTTAGAATTGTGCATAATGCCATTAAAATATGGGGATCTTTTTTATTGCATGATGCTGGGAATAAAATCGAGGGTCTCTATCACTGAGCCACCCATCCAGCCCCACACATGGGAGTGTTCATACTTATGAAGCCATTCAGGAGTAGGTACTGAAGGTTCTTCCTCCCTGTGGTATCATTGAGTTGCTAGGCACTGTTATCAAGCAGTTTACACAGAAAACCTGCTGGAGAACACTTGCCACTCATGTTCTTTGCAAGCACTACTGAATAGCACTGTGGCATGTCTAGTCATAAAGAGAAAGCCTCAGTTATGGGCTGTCTGCGTCTATTGGGTCCATGGTCCATGCTGCATCTTGTGAACTTTTTTTTGTGTGTGTGTGTGTACTGGGCATTCAACTCAAGACCTTGTACTTGCAAGGCAGACAGTGCACCACTGAGCTATATCCCCAGCCCTGCATCTTGTGAACTCTTAATGGTCCTTCACATTTTCTGATGCTTTTCCTCTTGTTAAATAAACATAATTGAAGATATTATCATAACACAAACCAACATGGTGGTCTAGTAATAACAAGCAGATAGTAAAATACAAGGTATCGCAAAAATTTCAGTGTAGTTTTAAGCCTTACTCTACTCTGCTGCTGCCTTCCAGGATACTGCAGAAGGTACAAAACATCATCTGAAATTTTCAGTTCTGCAAATGTGGAATATTAAGCTTTTATTCTTACTTTTTTCCTAGTGTCTCTTTTTTCTGGGGGTGGTGGGTATGGCAATCAAAATCGAGACCTTGTACTTTTAGGCAGGCAGCAGAACCACTAAGGTAAATCCCCAACCCTTCCTACTGACTCTTAAAGGGAACAGAAGAAAGAGGAACTGGAACAAAAATTGCAACTAAGAGTTTAATACTCCACGTTTTAAAAATTAAAAATTTCAGATGATATTTTATAATGTTGTAGCTTCTGTACTTCACTGGTTTCAAAGCTTAAAATTACACGAAGACTTTTGGGATGCTTTGTATTGCCACACAATTTCCCTCCTGTTTTTAAATAGTTCTTTGAGGGCTGTGCACTGTCTGCTTTGACCACCTAAATTTCTTTTCTCTAGATTTGGTAAAAGAAGCTTATTAAGAGCAGGGTTAAAGTCTACATTCCATGTTAACCCCATTTTAAGTCCTCCTATTTAAGAGGGAGCTTACATGAACCTTAGGAACTGAGTGACGTCATTAAAGAGCGGAGATTAAATGACTGGAGGGTTTACAACACTGTTACCTAGACATGAAATATTAACACAGATTACCGTTCTTGCCCATGAAATCTGTTTTTCTACCTTCTCAAGTGTAATACCAGGA